TCTGGAGGATGGAGGACCAGGGAAGCCTGTGGATAACTCAGAGACTCAAGGCAACCTAAGGGAGCCCACTGGCATAAGGCTTACCACTAAAGGGCTCAAGAACCAGTAAATCTGATATCTGAGTGTCAAGGGAATGGATGCCTCAGCTTCTCAGCTCAAGGACAGAACAAGAGCTGGATTCTGGCTCTCAGTGGATTAAGTGATACTTACATTGGTGAGGATGATGTTTTTGTGCAATCTCCAGATTCAAATGTAATATCTTCTGACACATCCAGAAACAGTATCTTACCTTATCTGGACATCCCTTAGTCTATTCCACTGTCACAGAAAATTAACCATCCCAGTTATACCACTAAATATTTCCTTAATATGTTAGTTATTTTCAGTTTGAATAATATAAAAGTGCTGGTACTTCTACACACATTACACAATACATTTGTTAAACTTTAGAATTGCTGAAAATGATTTTTTTATCTTAGCTTGAACATTTTGAATTTAAATAACATAAATGTATCAGTCAGGGTAGCCAGAGGAAACAGAAGGAACACTTAGGCATCATTTTAAAGGACGTCTGGTCTAAGGGGTATTTTCTAGAAGAGCAGCAGCTGAGTTAGGGGAACCAATGAGGAATACCGTATCCTAATTTCAAGCCACTGTCGAGAGCTGAAGTGGAAAGGGATAAAACTGTTCTGGGAGGCAAATATGAGCTACCTACAGAAATGCAGTTACTGCCAAAAGGCGCTGCAGCGCCAAAGTATACAGCAAACGGGGCAGGAATGGCTCCAGCTTTTTCCCTTGTTCTGTTGCAGTGCCTTAAAAAAACAATGGAGGGAGAAGGAAAACAATTTTCTGAATATTTATGTGTTAGGCACTGAGAAGGACATATGATAGATCTGAGTTTGGAAATGCGGTGGAAATAGAAAATAAGCATTACAATACATGAGAAAATGTGTAAATAGCTCAAAATCCATATTTCCAAAGCATTTAGAATTTTGTGCAACTTACCATTTGCCACATGATAGTTTTGGTGGAATAACACTTCTTGAAACCACAGTTATCACAAATATGACCTCATTTATTAAGAGTCCTTAAATTGGGTGATTATATAGTCAAATCAGTTTGTTCATTGTGTTGTGAGGGTTCCTGAGCAGTTTTCTTGGTAGCAAACCATCTAAAACAAATTATGTAAATTAGATCCTTTTATTAATTAGAAATCTGCTTTCATTGACCCAATAAAAGTTGAAGAGCAAAGAACTATCTATGTCTCACATGCAATAAGTGCAAGCAGTTTGACTTACAAAGTGGATGATTTCCCCATGTATATCACAAGTGTAAAACTCATTCTACATACATTTTCAACCCCCCTAACTTTAGAGGGAAAGGCAGAGAAAGGGAGATAAAGTTAAGTGCATGATATTCCTGCAGACTGAAGCAAAGAAACACAACAGAAACAAAAACTGGCTGAGGATGAGAGACTACACTGCACGAATCCAATCCAATCAAGCAATGGGCCTGGGATTCCTGCTTAGATCATTCACTTCCTTCCAACAGGCTGCTTGCTCCCTTTTCACTATGGAAGCTCTTTCTTTTCCCTTATTTCCAATCCCACAATATGAAGTGTTGTGCAATTAGGCAGTTTCCCCACGATGCTATTAAAATATTTAAAGAACCATATTAGACCAGGAAATTATTGCTGCGGTGTTACTACTGATGCACCGTTAAGCTTAATTTAAAACTACAACAAGAAAGTACTATCTCCCTCAAAACTCCAAAATACAAAAGTAAATTTAGAGACTTATTCTAGTGATGGCAGGTCATTAAAATCAGTTGTAAGCCTAATATAAAAAAGCTAAATGCAGTTTTGGTAAAGACATGCTTTCAGATAAAATAAAACAACCTCCCTAGAGACTGACACCCAGCATTACACTTCATTTGTGCTACTCCACTTTTCCTTTTTTTACTTATTTCTATATCACATTGGTTATGATTTTTTGAATGCATGGCTCACTGACAACAACCAATTTAAAGGGGTCACTGACTTAAAAATAAATATACAACAATAACTTAAAGGTGGTATTTAAATTTGCCTTTTCACTGAAGGAAAAATGAACCCTATGATTACAGGAGGTGTGAACAGGTAGTTAGATAATGAAAGTCTTTTAACTCCAGGTTTGGTGCAATCATCCTTAGGGAAAATACTGGATCCAATAGGGGGTGGGGTGGTAATCACTAATAAACTCTTTAGAATAAGCCCATCACAATTAACACTTGTAATGTTATCAACGTGGGGGGGATGCAGCTGGAAGGCTGTTGACATGAGCACTCACTCCTCATCCATTGTTTAAAATGTCCAGTGTTCTTCCAGAGGGCACCTTAGGATAGTGGTGGAGGAGCAAGAGTAAATCAGCCCCAGGGACGGCTGTCTCCAAGAGATGCCAGCATGGAGCTGAAGTAGAGATGAGTTTCAAGTTGCAGAACAGCCCCATACAGCAGTAAAAAGATATAAGATATCGACACGCTCAGCTGCATCTTGTTAAAAGCTTCCTGCGGGTTGGCAGAATGAAATCTTTATTTAAAATACACAAACTATTGTCAAGGGAAAGATGGAAAAAGAGAGCACAAAGGGCCAAACGCTTTGCTTAACCCACCCGAAGCGGCAGAAAGAGAAAAGTGGTCACGTTGCTTCTGCAACAACAACAAACAGCAGCAGAAAAGGTTGCTAACACATCACTACATTAGTACCCATCTGCTCTTCCATGGTTTCAAGATGCATTATTTCTTTTATTATTAATTGTATGTGTTTCCAGGGGGGGCAGGGCAAAAATATTATTACAGATAGCAAGGGAGGCAATCATTTCTCCTGCCACTTGGCTTTAAGTACAGTAGTGTATGTAACGAGTGCGTGAAGACAGGAAACAGCGGTATCCCTCCTACCAATTCGCTCCAACTGGCTCATGGTAGGCTGAGGCTGCCTAACAGAAAGTTCATGTAAAACCATTATTGAACACAGACAGGAAGGAACTGAGACAGGAGTGAGTGGTGTGTATTTGTGCAAAGAGGGAGGTGGAGGGAGGAAGGGGGGGGGAAGAGACAATGAGTCAGTCAGCATGAGCAGACAACACCATAAGAAGGGCAAGTGCTTTGTATGATTACAGAGCTGTGCAAGGGCACACACACTTGTGCAATTATGTAACTCCTTTCGATTCAGATCTTATTTCCATGAATGGTTTTACGTGAGAATGACCGAGAGCCTGTGAGCCTTCTTGACTGGTGAGCCCAGTGGCTTCAGGAAACTGAGCAGACGCTGGCCTCAGAAGGGTCACTCCTGAAGCAATGAAGCTGGCGTGAAAAGAAGAAAGGTGAAGGGGTCCTGGGGAAAAATGTCACCTGTATTGATTAAGTTTGTTTCTCTTTCAGAGAAAGTGACATTTCTGCTTAGATCATGGACATACAAGGAAAGGAGACAGCTCACTGTCTTTTTTTTTTTTTTTTCTTCCTTTCACAGTGCAGACCAACACCTTTGGCCAGAGAGTACCTGGAATGCTCTCTGTGGCATTATTACCGACAGGATACTATTTTGGCAATCTATTTTTTAAAAGCACCAACGCAGTGACATTTCTCTTTTTAGCAGGAGACAGAGCATTTGTTTCCTAGAGCTGCATGCTCCCATCACACATAAACGACAATGAAGTGATAAAAGCTTGCAGCTGGGTTCCTCCCATCCTGCCTACCCATTCCCCCTAAGTCTGCTCCAGTCTCCATTTCCTGCCTTGCTCAAGGGTCTTACCTTTCCCTCCCCACACCCGTTTCCCAAGTCTGTGATACACCACCTTTAATGCATGACCACACCACCTCGGGGAATCTAGAACAAGAAGACACCGGGCCCCCCCACCCCCCCAATTTCTGGCCTCTCCTCAGTATTAACTCTCTCACAGGTTCCCCCCACTGCCCCACCATCACTAGGCAGCGTCCTGCCTCTCCCTTCCAGCCCAGCCAGGCCGCCAAGCCCCCAGCTGGAAACTATCCGATATCAGAGGTGAAGCGCATCTTCTGCGCCAAGCAGCCTCTGCTCCCTTTCCTACACCGCGCAAAAGTGGGCTCTTCGTAAGCACTGGTTGTGTTGCAAATTAAATCTCTGTCCCTGACCCTTCAAAACCCACTACCCCCTTAACCCTGACCGCCGGCCTCCCTCCAAAGAAAACCGTAAAAGAATCAGATGCACGCGAACACCTGAAGTAGCGCAACTGGGATCCACACCTGGCCAAGTCCTCCGTGGCTTTAGCGGTCGGGAAGGGAAGAGCCTGTGCCCGATGTGTCCTCCGCTCCCCGCGCGCACCGTTCTAGCCCAGAGTCCTGGAGTCCAGCCAAGGCCCCCGGGTCTCCGGGCCAGTTGCCGGTCGGGCTGCGCCCAACTTCCCCGCCTCCCGCCCCAGCTCGCGCACCCGCACCGCCGCGGCCGCCGCCTCCCGAGCCGGCGCTCGGAGCATCCCGCGCCGCGTCCTCCCCGCCCCGGCTCCGGGCCGCCAGAGCGGGGCCCGCGCCGCTGGCAGCCATCAAGTGGCTCGTTAAGGAAATGCAGGTGAGTGCGTGCGGCCAAGTGGCTGCAGCTGGAGACGTGGGGTGTGTTGCATGTGTGGAGGAAAAGGGAGCGCGAGCGAGAAGACAAGCGAGTGCCGGAGCGGCCGGAATGCTCGCCGCCCCCGCCCCCCGCCCCGCCTCGCCCGCAGCCGGCGGCCCGAGCGCGTGGGGCAGTGCCTCGCCCTGACGGAGACCAGCCGCCTCCTCGCCGTCTTGGCGGCGTCTTCTCTCCGGAGCCGCTCCCCGGCCTCCCCCACCCGGCGCTCCCCTCCCAGCGCGCCCGCTCCTCCTCCGCCTCCTGCTCAGCCTCCTCCCCTCGCGCGGCGCTGACAGCCTGCCTCGGCCGGGAGAGCGCAGGTACTTTGCCTTCAGAATAATTTTCAGGACCCAAGCGAGCTTTCGGGGCGCCTTTTTCCCCACCCCCCCGCCCACCCCCCGGCTTGCTTCGCCTCCGCCCTCCGGAAGAGAAGATCCCCACTTTGGAAACAATCGGAGCCCGGAGCACCCCAGCAAAGCCAAACCCTGACGCGCTGCTGTGCATGTGTTGGCCCCTCTTGCAGTTGATTCTGGGCCTGTGTGGAATAGAAAGACGGTTATCTCTGTGGGAAGGAAGGGAAAGGGACGACTCCTCGAGGTTTCCAAGGAGGACTGGAGCGGCTGCTTGAGTAAGTAACTGTGCTTTCTGTGTGTCTTGTCCCTGGAGTGAGGCAGGTGCTGAATGCTCTCCCCTCGTGCTGTGCACACTTTGTTCGTTTTACCAGGGAAGAACTTGACTTACATAACTTCACTAGTTCCAATGTGAGAAGTGGTTTGCTAAGCACGGTTTTTCTTTTTTTCTTTTTGAGGAAGAGCACTTAGGGGACTTCAGTCAGAGCAGCCTACTGGAGATGTGATTTTTCAACGCTTATTGTTCAAGGGTTCTAGGAAGCCTGGTTTGTGAAACGTTGTTGGTTCTAAGATTTAAGAAAGGTTACCTAGAAAAAGCTTGAGGATTCTAAATCTATTGGCTCCATTCTCCTAACACCTTCAACTGTAACCCCAAACCACCCCAACTTTGTTCCCTGACTTCAGTGGGTTGATTGTTTTATCTTTAGTTCTAAAGAGCTCCAGGAAAAGAAAAATTGGGTCAAGGAAAAGTTAATAGATGGTTTGAAAATCCTGTTAAGATTTCTTCATGCTTGTAAGTGGATGCTGTGTGGAGGAAAATCCTGAAACTAGCCTTGTTGGAGAAGCTGGATGAAGTTAATTTGGAAAGGGAATGTGAAAAATGCTTTGGAGAGGGCAGGAGCTGAGGCTGCGACTTTGACACAGCAGGTTATAAACTGTGACAGAGGTTCAGCAGCCAGTGACAGGTTTAAGGTGTCTCCTAAGGCTGAATATCTCTGCATCAAAAACTTTTGCAGGCAGTATTTCTCATGGGGCTAACATCACCATGTCAGTAGCTGCAGCATTTCATTAAAAGCAAGTAGGACACTCTCCTGTCTCTGTGAAAGGGTTAATGATACCTTTTCAAAAAAAGCTATGTAGTCCAACATTTGCCAATATTTTGTAATATCTAAATAAAACCTTTGTATTATGTCAGGAAAAATATAGTTGAGTCAGTTTGTTTTGCACAAGAGGGAGAGAATCAATAACATTTCAGCATTTTTTCTTTATCACTGCCAAATGGATTCTGAATCTAATTCTTCTTGCATTGTTACATATACAGTAGGTACAGTAGGAATTATAATGTAGATGAAGCAGAACTGATTTTTAACACATTCAGAGTTCCTTACACAATAGAACTCATACTGGCTAGTGTAGAATAGAGATTAGCAAAAGTTTATCTGTTTTAACTTTGAATTTTGTTTCAGTACCAAGCACACTTTTATAATAATATAACCTTATACAAGTTATAACTCGACTGAGAATAGAAATGACTTACATCATAATTTATTTTGAACAAAACAGTTTATCAAATGATACCTAAGTTTTCTCTCATAATTCATTGTTGATAATGGTAAAGTTGCAAGATTTTTGCCTTTGTACTAACTCAAGAAAGTGTTTAAAAAGCAGCTTCATTCAGTGACCATTGGCTTTAGAAACTGTGAATAAGCTAATGTACTGTGGCTTTTTGAGAGGCAGGAGATTTCAGAGTTGTGATTATTCCATGCTGAAGACTCTGAATATCATAGGGCATAAGTTTAGAGGATGACGAGATAGGACAATAAGACAGTTGATGAAATTGTTGTCACAAACTTATAGATGGCAATCATTTGGTAAAGACATGTGATTGTTTCTTAAATATTACTCTGTTTCCTTTCTAAATGGTTTTTCTTAGAGGTATGACTGCCCTCAGCTGCCATTTCAATTACAGGTTTTAAACTGAATTTAAATAATTTAAAATGAAGCTCTTGGTTTATCAGATTTGAAATATAGCATATGACCTCCACTCAATGGTGACCTCAGATATCTGACAGTTGGAAAAAAATCTTAAATAAAAAGGGAGATTGTACTTACGTAGCTAAATTTAATTTAACAGTGGTTGAGACATCTTACTACATATGTTACTATAGGATACATTTTTCACAGTCTAAAAGCCATGACAGAATTGTTCACCTTGTTCAGATTTCTGAAAGCAAGGGTGTATAATTAACGTGGAAACTAAGCTAGCACACATTGTGCCCCTGCTTTACTTATGTCATATTGATGAGGAACATAGCCTGAATTAAAACTGTGTCTAGTGTAGTTTAGACAGATCCGGTCACTGTCTGCATGTAATCAAAGAGAATTTTGCCGAAGCTGGGTGGCTGGCTAAATTGTCAGCTTTTTTGCCACCAGCTTTCTGTGCTACACAGAGGTAGTTGCAACTTTAAGTTGAAAGAAGAAAGTTGCTAGTGTCAGCAGCAATGTGTTTTATTATGCAATTGTTCTTGTTATTCAGATCAGATAATGGCCCTATGAAATACATAAGCAGCCTGCAGGGAATGAATGATTAATTCCTCTAACGTGTGCTTACTAAAGGAGTTCTTACTAATAAAGAGCTGTATACCTGCATTTGCTTACAGTTGCACTTGGAGAACGCACACTTACTTTTCTTTTCCTTTAATATTAACATCGAATTTACAAGTCTGCTGTAACTATAGCAACATAAAGATGATTTTGTAGGCCACATGGTATTCTAGTTGATGGAATTCTAGATATGATTATCATTTACTTAAGACACTTAATTTATGAACTAAAACCATGTTAATTAGGTGTGATATTGGAAGGTGGAACTATTGATAAAATTATTTTTTCATTCTGATATGATGTTGTATCATTCCTGTATATTATGAGTAGCTTGCAAAATCCAAACATATACAGATGCAGAGTTCTTACAAGTGAAAGTGATATTTTCTTTTAACAAGTGAAAAGCCAAAATATTGTTGGCTATATCAAAGAATTGGCTGAATACTACATTAAAATTTTAAAAATGGCTAACAATTGACATGACCTTTGTTACCTCTGGTGTAAATTTTTTCGTCAGTGAGAGAGTATCATTAATGTAACTTTTGATGTCCCTACGTTCCTACAATTGGATTGTGAGACAGGGTGGTTAATGGACAGGTTATATGTGGTAGTTTGAGAAAGAGTTACTAGAAATACATTTACACAATTGAAATTTCCCTGAGTCTTTTTTTGTAGAAATTGCTGAAAAAGTTATTTTAAAAATTATATTATTAAGTAAACATATAACTGTTAATATATCTGTGTGCGAATCTATCTACATGTATATCTATATGTATATTTATATATCACATTTAATATATCAACTTTATTGTAAAATCCCTCTGTTACTGCAGGAAATATCTTAATTTCAGTGATTTTTTTTTACTTACACCTTAACTGAATTTTATAAACTATCCCAATGCAAATTATATGATAAATATATCTGATCATGCCAATTTGACAGTTACAGTGAAAACCAGATGAACAGGGTTTTGTACCAAATTGAATGTCATTTGTATTTATCTATATCCTTACACATTGAAATCCAGTTTCTTTACTATCAATGTCATTTCACTGAGATTTTATGAGATCTTTCAAAAGTAATTTGGTGTCAGCAAAGAATAAGTACATTTCCAGTGGTAAAATCAAATAATACAGAAATTAATCATACTTGCAACAAACGTTCAAACTCTTTTAAAATGAACTTAATGAAGAAAAGTGATTGGAAAATAAAAAAAAAATGAACACTTTGGTGATTGTGGAAACAAAGGTTTTGGGTTTTCTTCTCGTTGAAATTGCCTGTTTGACCCTAGGAAGGTAACTAGGCTTTCTGTACCTGGGTTTTCTCGTCTGTCAACTTAAGTGATTGGCCTAGCAATTTAGCAGTCTTCTAATTCCCAAATCTTTTGAAATAAGATGATGTAATTACTCATGTAACTGAGACTAGCGGATTGCACAGTGACAGTTTTGAGAATCCATATAGCAGTGAGGGGCAACCATCTTCTTTGAGTGAGGGCTAAAGAGATTGTCCTGAAGCTATGTCGGCATGACTTGGACACTGTTGTTAAGTGGATTTTAGTGTCTATTTGGAGTGGCTTTGGAGGGGGTGAGTGGAGATTACAGAAGGAAGAAGCTGCAACCAATTCTTCTAAGTCACCTTTTATTCCTGCCCCTGGGACACTATTATGTGCAGAAGTATTTTTGGATTTTGTTACTCAACTTAATACTAGAAGAATATGGAAACATAAAAAGAAATGCTTAGTGTCATTGGCCTTCCTATTTTCCTTCTTTAATTTCTAGTTATATGCTATTTGATAAAATCACAGATAAATACACACAATTTAAGTAAATTCATATTGTTGCTTACTTACATGTCAGTGCTAGCAAAATTACTTCATCCTTTGTGTTTTAAAGAGATGATTGAGGACTTTGAAGATAGAAGAGACAAAATTTTTAATTTCAGAGGCTTTACATCCTAGTTCAGTAGTATCTAGGAATCTACATTTTCAAGTAAATACATAGACGGTAATTTATAAATCTGTTAGTACATAACACAAAATGGTTCCATTGATTAAAGTAGAATACTATCCATTTCATCTAAAAGATTTGGTAATGCAAAACATCTAATCCTGGAAGATGAATACAGAGAGAGAATATATGCAGTGTTAATTTTAAATCCTTCCTTTTCATAAAGAAAACCCAGAATGTATTCCTTGTTAGAATTCATATGGTAGAAATGATGAAATTGGAATCTTCTTTCTCCCTCCAGAAAAAACAATATGGCCAATCCTATCCTTTCTGTGCTATAAATATCTCGGTTGTGGCAAGTAGACCAGTATCTGTATAAAATACATATTTTAAGTCCCTGGAGACTGAGAGACCATGATATGTGTGCTTTTTTGAATTCGCAAAATATAGCTGCTATAGCCAATTAACTATAGAGTTTATTGCTTTTAATTTTGTGTGTGTATTTGTGTATGTGTGTATTTAATACACAATATGGGAATTAGTAAAAATGATGTGCTCAAAAACTTTAGGAGTATGTGTGTAATAACTGCGTAGTAAAAGAGAAATATTTAGACTAGAGAGTAATATACCATTCTTCCCTGATTGGTTCATAAATCAAGTAAAAGTTATATTACCAAGACCTTGCCACTTACAAGTCTGAGTATTCTAAATGTTTTATTATAATTAC